AGAATGACAGTCAAATCTCTACCTGAATATCATCGACTTCGAACAGGCCTTCGACATCAATGACCGCGAAGTAATTTGGACAGAACTTCAACACTATAGAGTGCAGTGCTGCAAAACATTATCAACCTCATGCAACAGGCATATGACAATGACGCATGTCAGGTGATCCGCAATGGAAAACTCAAGGAGGCGTTCTAAGTACGTACAGGAGTAAGACAAGTGTACACAGAACTAACACCGATGATATTCTTAATTGTGGTGGACTGGATTATGCATCAGACTGTGCATTGGGAGTGAGAAGACAGGAAAACGCTGCACTGACCGATAAGAAGACTCTATGAGATCTGGATTTCGCGCGTGGATGATTTGTGTCTAATGTCACACAGACTCGAAGGCCTACGGGCGAAAACCAAAAGACTGGCAGAAGAGGCAGCGAAGACAGGACTCCATGTGAGCATAGAGAAGACGGAGTTGATGAAGATAACCAAGGAACCTCAACAACAGCAGCAACCAGAACCGATCACCATCAGTGGGAGAGATTTAACGGAGGTTACCTCCTTCACTTATCCGGCTAGGAGGCATCGTATCAACTACAGGAATTCGGAACGGACGAAGATGTCAAAACTGTTCAGTAAGAATCGGAAAGTCAATCAATATACGCCTTCATCAACTTGAAACCAATTTGGAAATCTTTAACACTCCGACTCAGTATGAGGAGCAAGATTCGCATTTTCAACACCAATGTTAAGTCGGTCAGTGCTTCTATACGAGTGAGAAACTTGCACTGCGTGTCATGAAAAGGATTTCCAACAGCGTGCTGCAGACTTTCATCAGCAGAAGATGGTCGCCATTATCTGACCTGCGACCATGTAAGTCCCACTGACCACCTATACGATTCTTCTCTGAGCTTAGACGCCTATCCTATGCATTAAAGTCCACAGCCAACACTAAGATATCCCTCCGACCCGCCTGTTTCAAGGGATCGCTCACTTGGTAGTATAACTCATCCTTAATTGCATCCGGGTTACAATCCGTCGGTGCATAGGCAGAGACAACAAATAAACACCACCTATCTAGCCTACCACTCCTACTTTCCTATAACCTTCCAGCCTCACAGCACATAAACGACTGTTAGTGGAGATCCAGTCGAGTAATGCAGCTTCGGCGCTAGCGCTTAGTGCGACACCAACACCAGCTACGCCGGATGCTGACGCCACAGGGTTCCCGGACAAGCGCAGGTTGTACATACTACTAGAACTTTCAGATGGAGAGGATAATCGAAGCATTTCACTGAGATATTGAATATGGATCTCCAAAACGCAGCAGACATCGATAGTGTGGCTTTCCAATGTCCTTACTAACCCTTCCTGTTGTCCGATTTGCATCAGTGTCCGAACATTATTATTATTATTATTATTATTATTATATAAGCTTTATTCCAAATCAGTACTTGTGATACAGAATGGAATTCTCAGCATTTTACTACAATATTGCATCCAGTTTTTTTTTTACATTAACAATAAATAAAGTTCTACATAGTTTAAAGATTATCTCAACAACATATTAGTATGTCGGTAGCAAAGCCAAAATTAAAATGTTTGAAGGTGTTACAAAAGTAGATACTACTAGCATATTTACTGGCGTAAGCGATAGCAAAATGGTCGAGATATACAGAGTGTAAAAGAACGAACAAGAATGTTTTAAGTAGAGTTTGCAAGGAAGAGAGAAACAAAACAGCACATAACAAAAATAAATACAGAATGAAGAGAGAGAAAACGTTGTACCTATAAATGATGTGAGTTGGAAAGACGAGATTCATTGGTTCTAGTGACTATTTAATAAGTTAAAGGTTTCATGCCTGATGCATTCTTTATCACACAGAACACGGGCTAGGTAGGGTATGGATGAGTTTTTGTACTTACTAGTGCGAGCATATAGTTTCCTATATAGACTTCTTGTTTTCCCTGAAGAGATACATGGGGAGAGTTGTGAGTGTAGAGGGTGTTGTGAGTCAGATAAAATGGACTTCGCCCATTTTTCACATGAGTCCATGTGCCTGTCCACCAGAATGTTAACAAGCTGGCTAAGTGGCAAGCTGCTTACCCTGCTGACAACCTTTAACATCCTACGTAATAAGGTATAGTCTTTCTTCAATAGCCCAGGAAAGACTAAGGGGGAGCAATAGAGAATTATAGGCAGAATACGGGAGTTAACAAATTGTAGTAGTAAGGGTTGGGTTACACCAGAATGTCTTAACTTCTTGATGTAGAAGGTAAGACGGTATATTTTCTTGGAAATCGTCAAGATATGAGACGACCAGGAAAGATCAGAAGATAGAGTGACGCCTAGGTATTTAATTTCCGACTTAGTTTCTATTTCAGTGCCATCTATGTTGCACACCTCGTGAGCGCTAACCAGTTTGTTTAGGTCAGATTTATGCCTAAAGGTGAAATTAACTGTTTGGCATTTGGAGGGGTTTAAGGTTAGACCGTTTTCCTTGGACCATTGGCTAATTTCTGATAAGAAGCCATTTAGTTTAGAGCAGTCATTTTGACATTTGACAGGTAAAGATACAGTCAGGTCATCAGCATATTTGACAAAGTTAATATCATTTGAAGACGGTAGGTCATGTAGGAAGAATGAAAAGAGAAGTGGGGAGAGTACAGCACCTTGGGGGACACCAGATTCAGTGAGCACAGCAGAGGAGGATTGACCTTTGTATACGGTGTACTGCATTCTGTTTGAAAAGTAGGAATGCAACCACTTAGTGACCCAAGACTCGGTTTGTGTCGTGGAGAGCTTATTTAGCAAGAGACTTCTAGGTACAGAGTCGAAAGCAGAAGTGAAGTCAAGAAACGTGCAGCGGACATATTTGGCATCTTTGTCTAATGATGAGACAATACTGTTGTGTAAGACGGCTGCAGCGTCTAAAGTACTCCTACCCTGTCTGTAGGCAAATTGTTTGGGGTCTTCGAAGCTTTTAAGGGAGGGTTCGAGTTTAAGAAGTATTAGTTTTTCCATGAGCTTTAGAAACGGGGAAGTGATGGCAATGGGTCTGAACTTTACGTTCTTGCTATTTCCAGGTTTAGGGACAGGGACTATTTTAATGTCTTTCCATGGAACAGGTACAACGTTTTCGGAGAAAGAAGCATTTAGTATATTAGTTAGAGGAGAACATAAAGCATCTGCACATTGTTTTAGGACATATGCAGGTATGCCATCAGGGCCAAGACTATGTGAGGGCTTAAGAGTTTTAAGACATTTCAAAACATCGAGAGTATTGAAGTCCTGGAAGTTATCAGCTACAAGATTGGTAACATTAGGAGTGGTTATGGTAGAAGGAGAGCGTATAAAAGACAGATTAAGAGCATTAACATCACAAGAGGGAAAAACATTACATCGCTTACTATTGCCAGTAATTTCATTGAAAAGTTTCCACATGCTGTTTGGAGATTTGCATGATAAAAGTGTTTGGTTATAGATAGCATTATTAGCAACATTGTAGGTGGCCAGCTTGAACGTGGCACGAGGTTTCAGGATATCTGTGCTAGGTGTCTCACTGGGCACAACCATTTTGAAGGCTACCCACTAACACCTCAAAACGGCACAGATAGTCTTGGAATGCAGGCAAAGGCGAATGGCTGTCGAAAGTGAAGATGTCAAGGTTAGCAAAAGTATAGTACCGGATCCTATGTATAAAAATAAAAGCAAGGTTGGAAAGAGATGTGTTACTTGTGACATCATTATTGCTTGAAAGCATTGTTACGAGCGCGTGATAAGTCTCACTGATAGTTTGTTGCTTCATTTCATTTATTCTGGGAGGGCTGAGACACTGCCTGAGCGCCCAGACCGAAGTAGGTGGTTTTCTTAAGGGACTACCCCCGAGCCTTTGATTTGGAGTCTAATCCGCAAGGCAGCGTCAGGAGCTACGTTCCCATGGTTGCCGGTGATTAATATACGTTCGTACGCCACTTGATCTGATTGGATCCTCGAGCCCATGTACCCCATGGTAACTGCTTTTAGTCAAACCGCTATCTAAACTACCTTCTTGACATGGTAGGACCTTCAGGAACATGAGTCCCAGCCAGTTTAGCTTGTTGGATCACTTCAGTTTTCAAGCTCGACCACCACGACAAGGTTGTTGGCCGGGGTTAACGACTTCCCAAATTAGTGAAGTGGTTAACTCCACTAATTTTGGAATTTGTATCAGCCCTAATCTAATGATTGCTGAAGAAATCGCAGTACTGATACAAAAGGTTCAAGTGTCATTTACCAACCTCCATCATCTCTGGTGTAGATCCAGTCTCCGGCTATTTATCAAAGGGTGTATTCTCGATCAGCAGTTCCCTCTGTCCTCTTATGCGACTGTGAAACATAGCCATTGGAAGTGGAAGGTACGAAAAGGCTATCTGTCTTTGACCACAGATATTTGTATTCTATTTCACGTAATAAGTGCTACTGTATGGTGAGCAATATTTAAGTCAGGCGTACAGCGTTAGCTAAGGAGAGTAAGTCAATCGAGGAGGTTATGAAGTTACACGTTGATTGGAATATCTGAGACATGCGTCACGCACTCTAAGCCATTACTTCTCTCGACAAACAATATTAGCTGACATAGGATTAGGATGAAAAGAGTTAGGGGTGATCAAACGAAAATGCTGAACCAGCCTGCGAGGTCTTTGACAAGTGTTCAGAGCCGGCCACATAGCCAGGAGTAGACCGTTTCGTTGAAGTCCTCAAGATGCTTTAGGAATAGCTTGAGACTACTGCCATAAGCATTAAGCCCTTATGTTTCTCCCACCTAATTCTTCTCATTCGAATTCTTTTGAATATCTTGTTTCTGTACCTTTGTGTGTTATTTGAAGTATTTATTGCAACCTGAACTGCAGAAAGTCTTTGCAAAGTTCTGTGTTGAAACTCACTCAGCCAACAATTTTATCAAAATGAATATTAAACCAGAAATTATAAAATCTCAGCTTATAAATATTGATTATATTTGAAGGTTTTATTGTTATTTCCCAGCGAATGAAAAATAAAACGATATTGACTTAATCACAGTTCTTCAGCTTCAAGGAAATTTTATATAACATTGAAGATGTTTAGAAAGGCAATGAAAACTTCATAGTCATAGTATTTTGCTCAGAAATCACCTTAACAAAATTAAAAACACCCATCTGACGTATCAATCTCTTCCACCATAATTTGGTAGTTTAAAGATCTGATTTCTATTGACTTTCCATATCAGATTAACGTAATTTTCAACGTGCTATAGTATCATGATGTAAGTAACTGATCATATCACTATCCAGATCGGTAAATTTTGATCAAGACAGCTAAATTGGTTGATTTTCGCAAATACTGGGACCTAATTGGACAAATTCCTTCAACATTGTAAGTGGTAAGAAGAGAAACAGTCAGTAATTTCATACATGTATTTAGATTTTATTTTTTTTCTCTCAATATCAAAATTAGTTTACTTTTTATCATAAAGTGATATCATTCGACTTCAGTTTACGCGGTATCATAATATAAATAACATTCTTCTTTTGCTTAACACGTGCTGAATTCAAATAATACATATCTAAACTAACTTTATATTTATGCTCAACATAAGTTGTTAAATCATAATCGAAATTCTCATTCTGTTCAATGATAGCCTCCAATTTCATTGGTAAATTCTCCAGCGTCTTCAAGGTCACCAATCGCTGATATCCAATGATGATAACCTCTTCAGTTAGATCGAATTTTGCGCGAACAGTTTCTAATTTCGCAGTTGGATCCAGTTTCACTGTGATACAACAGTCGCGTTCTAATATTTTCACAGCAATTTTTGTCTGTATTCTTGGTAGACCAGTAGGCACCAGACGACTATCATCGCCAAGTGTCGGTGTATCAAATGTTCGTGTTTCGCTGCATCGAAAGATTGAAGATGGTGCATGGTTATGATTGTGGTGATGATGATGATGATGATAACGAGACTTATGATTTTCTTGGAGTACTTGTTTTTCGGATTTCTCTTCTTTTTCAAACATTTCATTTAATTTCTGTATTGCATTTAATTCATCTGGACGTAGCATTGTGTAGTCGCGCGATCACTGTGCATACGTTTCCTTCTCTCAGTCTCTCTGACACACGCACTCTTCGGTTTGATTTTAATAATGATCAGTTCTATGGAGAAGACAGAGTCTGAAATACAAAAGATAAGAAACAAAGATTGAATTTTAAATGTGTTTTACTAGTTATCCACTCACTAGAAAATTCATATTAGGAAATTTTTGTCACTAAAGTGAAAGAACACTCTCACATGTATTTCATCATTCTTCTGATTGGTTACAGAGTTATTCCAGCTAGCTAACATCAGTTCAGAATGCATTGTGATGGTGTCAACATTGCAGATTTGACAGATAATCTTATTCAGTCAGTAGTATGTTGTAGATGCAAGCACAGAGCGAATAGCTCAGTAGTGAAGGCACTGAATCTCTGAGTTTGCATCACTTCCTTATAAGCTGCAGACACCTCACTTGCTGTCAATGGTGAAACCTTAGTTTATGACTTCTTATCGATTCGTGCGAGACGTCTGACATTAATTGAAGTTGCGCTGCAATGATGAACCACATACACTGGGGAACAAATTAAAATTATGACTTTTAGAATGCTATTCTACTGTTATAAAAATGGAACTTTGAAATCAAATTATCAAATCACTTTGAAGCCACTCCAGTTACTAAACGTCACGCGTGAATACATCGTAACCATTGACTGCTTCTGAATTTCACGTGGAACACGCGGTCGACAGCTTTGAAGTTCCATTGCCCATGTTATTGTTTTTCCGGGAATGTGTTGCTAGTCTCACCCCCAAACTTCTCTCTTTTCCGGGTTTATTTTTATCTTTTATATTTTTTATTACAGCTTGATTTCACACTGTATTTTTGGTACAAGTATGGAATTTTCAACATGTGATATCGGTAGATCAAATTTTGCAGGCTGACCATAGATATCATGTGTGCGTCGGTAGGGTATCAAACCCCAGACCATATGCATGGTCGGCGAGAGTCCTAACCACTGTGCCACCGTCGCAAATTAGGAATGCGTCAGATGGAAATCAAACCCGGGTGACTGGTAAACATTCTTTTGCTGAACCACTGACTGACCATTTTGTACAATTATCTTTAGTCCTGTACGTTCCCAGTGGAACACAGGGCTTCAAGCTAGAGGCTTCGAGTTTCGGTAGCATTGGTGTTCTATTTTTACAAGATGGGATTGCAAGCCTCATACTCAACCTTCCCTCTTCACCAGTTTTATGACTGACTTAGAGAGGCAAAGGAGTGCGTCAGCCGGGGATCGAACTCCGAACCACATGCGTAGTCAGTGAGCATTCTACTGCTGTGCAACCAACGCGCAATTAGTTTCTCTTATTTTCCATCTCAGTAATAATGGAAGTAAACATATATAAAAGGTGTTTAGAAATTCAAAATGAAGTAGAAAGTCAAGAGTGAGGCATTTCAGCTATCCGTTTTTGGACTAAGTAGATTTTTGTCAAACTGAATTCTAAGACAAACGCTTATAGTATTTTTATTTGATTGGTAGTGAACAGCAGTAGAGATCTAGTGGTTTCAAACGTCAAAGAGTTAACTACGGTGGTGGTGTGATACAGACAATATGTGCCAACGGAATTTTATTCTCACATGTTCCCAAAGCTCAATTCAGCATTAACAAAAGAATACTAGATATCTATTTGAATATTCTATTTGATGTTAGAGTCGGAATGTTTGTCCCACGATTATAATATACTGCATCAACAACAAGGTGGTATGTATATTTGGAAATTCTATTTCATGTCGTTTCATGTTAATCGAATTCACAAGCTCAGTGATTGGTTAACGGATATAAACTGTAGATATTATAAATAGAGGTTTAATTAAAGAAAAATATAACTTGACTCCCGTGTCTTGCCTTCTGTTGCTACACTACTACTTTCTGTTGATAACGGAGACTAAACGTGTCTGAAAACAATGTAAACCAAGTTACCGAAAAAATAAGGTAAGTTGAAGAAATGAAAACTGCATAATAGGTGACTTTTTTGACCCAGTGACCTATTCAGTAAAACTATTGTGACTCTAAAATGATGGATTCTCAGTTCAAGTCTCAGCTAGGACACACTATATACTCAGTGATAGGGGTACAGGTAATTCCAACCAATGAATCTCAAACAGCAAGAAAGGTGTTACATTGACTCCATTGCTAATCACCATCAACCAGGTAAAAATATCATTGCTCTTTATTCTGTAAATTGCACTGAAAGTGATTTAGATAACCTGAACAATTATCATTTCAGTGCGCACATAGTTCAATGCAGTGAAATTGCAATAAGTAAGAATGTGAGTGAAAATGCCATAATTACATAAAGAATTAATGCTGACTTGATGAATATTGATTGATTCTTAGCGCCTAGATTGATACCCCAGTTAGCAGCCAGACAGTCTACACACCTCCCTATGTGACTGGCTTGAACCAACAGTAGAACACGTCATAGAGTGATTCCCAGTTTTGCTTTGATAACTACTTATTTTGTAAAAATGTACACCATTTCAAGGTGTTATACTTCATAAAAACACACACATAAAGGCAGAGTAAAGAACGCAAAGGAACTACGATGAAGCGAAATGTATATAGCAGAAAGAATAAATACATGGAGATTAATGAATGAATAAATCTAAACCATCGAGAACGATTTGGGACCATTTCACCAACAGACTCCTACTACTTCTTCTTCTTCTTCTTAGCATCCCACCGACCCTAACAACTCAGTGTGCACCTCCTTACGTGGCTGACTCAAACTAACAGTCAAATAATTTATGAATTCAATCCATGTTTTGATTTGACCACCATGCTAACTCTTTTCTAAACTACATCTTATATCAACTAACATTGCTCGACAAGGAAACAGGTGGCTTACCGTGCGTTACATATTTTCTGGCCATTTAATCGAGTCAGCTTCCAAACCTTCTCAGTTAACATTCACTCCTTACCTAAACGTCAGTATTACTCACAATATTGTACTACTTGACACGGGAGACAGAATGCAAATGCCTACGATCACAGACGACTAGCCTCTTCATCGCCAATTTCATCAATTTCTTCCTTGTTCATATCTGTGATTTTATCTGAACTACAGCTCAGACAGCTCAAGAATGTTTTTCAAGAGTATTTCCATGTATTGTATTTTCAGGAAGATATTTCACAGGAAGTTACCAATAACACAGGCAAAACATGATAGTCTCGAAGATAAGAACAGAAAAAACTGCTAATACAAGTTAAATCTCATAGTATTTTGAAAATTTGATAAGCTTTCATTGGTGCAATGGTGGTTTAATGTTAGAATATTCGCCACCCACATGGTAAGTCGAGGTTCGAAACCCTACAGAAGCACTCCAAAACATCGTCTAACCCACAGTATGCCCAGAAAAGTGGGAATGTTAGGAATAAGTCTAGAGGCACCATGCAGTTAAAAACGAAACATCACTACTACAGGAACTTCAAAGCTTAAAGCCGTATGTTCTACTCGGAAATGAAAAAATTTAAAAAATAAAAAACACTGGTTCGCAATATGTTAGCATGAAACACTAAATGAGACAAGAGTCTTACAAAATTAGAAGTTACTCAATGCCAAGGATAAATTGGGTAGACAATCAGAGTTCAACTATGAAAACGTTTCTTCTCTTGATTTAGTGACTAATATCAATCAAATGCAGAAAATTCAAGATTCTTGTAGATTCTGTTTGACCCTTTGAAGGAAGGTGATCAGTAATAAATCTGTAAAGCTGCCTAGTGCTTCAACCCATATGAATTTCTCCTCAGGAATAGATAAGTTCATAGATGCACGTAAAAGTCACACAGGTATATAAGTCATTTTTCACCGGAGAAATGATGATTGGTTGGTAAAAGAATAATATGAAAGAGTGGTAACAATATAAGCTCTTTTTATTGATTCTAGACAGTTTTTAGTGACAAAACTTCACTAATTAATTCCTTGTTGAATGAGGGCTTCATGTACAACTTCCTTTTCTTAACCACGGTTGGTTTAACTCTCTTGTATACAGAGTTCATGTGTCTGATGATAAATTTATTACATGGATGCAGGTGAAAAGTACAGCAGAAGGAAGACAAAAGCAAGTGGAGACGTGCAGTTGAAGCCACTAGGAACCCAAGGGAACAATAATAATATTATTATTATTATAGGCGCATAACCTAATTTTTTTCCGAAGGAGTGACTAAGTGACAATGTAACATTTCTCAGTGGTGTGTATTTGATTCAAAATCTCAGTAACAACACCGATATATAGTTAAATGTGGCTGAGAATAAATTCAGCTTAACAATCCTGTGATTGGTATCTTGTTGGTGTTTCACTTGGAACACTACCATAAGTCACTGAGGCCGGCAATGAGGATACATCTAACTGAAGCTTGACTTCTGAATAGGATGAAATGTACATCGAAGACTCCACTACTAGCCAACAGGTATCGTAGAAACGTCTACATTGCATCATTGACATAACAACAGAAACAGAACATTTTACATGTAACCAATTAAAATATTAATTTTAATACAAAACTTCTACAAATATTTGATAGCCTGTTTTGTTAAAAAAAAAAAAAAATACAATCAGATAAGAAGGAAACAAAAGGTGTTTAACTTACTCACGGAACAGTAACCACAACATCAATAGTAGAAAACCACTAGATCTCCGTGATGTCAGAAATCAACCACTCACCACGCTTTTGTATATATATATAGAAAAAAATAGAACTAATATTCATTGTCTTATTATTTTCATTGGTTTATATAGACAGACAAAAACTGTACGCGCATTTGAGTATGTGAATGAAGAAAGTGCATTCACATAATGTTCAATCATGGCAGAATTTTCCTTATTCTGAATACACATTATACTTATATGAGACATCTCAGGAATAGAAAAAAAGTTTTAGAAATTTATATAACATGCATTAAAAAAGTATTGTATGCATGTGCATACAGACACACACACACACACACAAACACAAATGTGCATAATGACAGTACTTTTTGTGTAAACACGCATTGCTATTGTCTTGTTTTCTTTTGTTCCAATTTTCATTTCACTTAGATTATATATGGTATTTACATGCTAATACAAATAAATATAAGCAAAATAACCAAGTGAAGATAAATCAGTGTCATTCTGTCTGCTTGTTTGAGTAAACATTTCACAGTCTTAAATGAGATTCTTAAATGAGAATATCATCATCCGAGGGCGCATGATCAGGCAAGTTTATCGTCGAATTTCTTAACACCTCCTATCTTAGTTTAGCAAAGGTTTGAACAAAGTTATACTCAGTTCAACACTAGCTCATCTCGTCGGTAATGGACATCAAATCGACTTTAACAAGGCGTTTAAAGTTATCTACCGTATATGAGCCAACTTTTCGCATGGTCTATGAGTACGACTTTCACCCCTACAGCAGAGACAATTGGAATTCATCTGAACAAGCCAAATCTGTGTCAGTTCAAAAGAAATTTGTACAACCCCTTTCTTTACCATGGCCAAGTATATAATATGTATTAAGTTTTTAAAAACGAGTTTTCCCTTCCCCTTGTAACAAGTATCTTTTGACTTTTTTCATTTTTACAATTTTTTCAATTCTAGCTAATTCTGTTAACTTGTTTATATTTTATGTAACTCTTCCAACTTCTTAATTTCACCCCCGCCTATACCTAAAACTGCTTAACTAAAACAACCACTTGATTAGTAAAACATTTTGATATAAAATACTATATATTAGTGCATAGCCTATGATGACGGACTAAAGGAGAAGAAATATATTTCTTCTCTCAGTCTGTTGTTTTTTCTACATTACTGAGTTCTATTTGGACTTCCCTGAAGACTGATTGAACTGAAGTGCTCGGCCCATTGCATAATAGGTGACTGTCATGGCCCAAGCAATCTAGTGGATTATTCTTTGGCCTCTGAAGCTATGGCTACTGGGTTTGAGCTTCCAGGAAACACCATTACTCACTGTGAAACATAGGTATATATATATATATATATATATATATATATATATATAGGACGAGATACGCATATGCATGCTAGTCACCATCCACCAGTGCGATTTACCATTCCAAGATGAAGCGGATGCTCATCGATGATACAGATCGATGAACCGAGAGGAGTTAAAGCCTACATATCATTAAATTTCAAACCAGAGTTTGAATGATTAATAGGCTGGCCTTCCAACGTGAAGGTACTGAGTTCCATCCCTGGTGTAGTTATGGGTGTACACAACTGAAGAGTGACAAACTAGACTGAGATAGCTGTCCAGTATTCCCTTGCTTTCAAATATGCTCTGCCTGATATCTGTTCGTGACGAAATCTACACTGAAACTACTCATATTAGTCAGCAGTATACAGAATATATCCACAAGTGTATTGTGAAACACTGTCCAGCTTGGTTAGTCAGAGAAGAAAAGGAGAATATCAGCAGCTCTATCCTCGAACACCTCATCTCCGGACATTTAGCACCCTCACATGAATGCTTCACAGTGATACACAGAGTCCCTCAAATCGTACAAATGGGACTTAGGATACGCTATATATACATAGCTGAAACATTAGTTGTTCGAGATCTAAAACTGGACCTCTGTATTCAAAAGCGATAGATACATTCTCTCGCCCTACTATAATTTTCCTTCTTTCCTTCATTATACAAGTTCACTATTACTATTATCACTATTATTATTATTATTATTATTAATACTCTTATTATCATCATTATTCCCATCATCCACATTTTATTACCACTCTATTACTGTTTATTAATAACATTGCTTTCTCATACAGATTTTATACAAAAACACTTTATCGCCTTTCCACTAGTTCTACACGAGCTTATTGATTAGTCATTATCTCACACGTATTACGTTATGCCAACTTCTGTCTCTTTTCTAACTTACAATTAGTCATCCTTTCTTACACCTTACATTATGTAATACAATTTTTCAAGGACAAAGTTTAGCAGCATCTGATTGGTCAAAACATTTCTTTGTTAAATATAATTACGATTGTACAGCTGATGAAAACGAATCGTTGAAAAGAAAAATTTTTTGGCTGTCTGTGCCTTTTTCTTATGACTTAATATGGGAATATTTCGTACATAATATTCTCCATACTTAACTCATCTCACCACTTGTGTCAGTCAGCCACACAGCTTGATTTTTTGTCTCATTCCTTACATAAATGTGTAGTTTGTAAAAGAAAAAGGTACTTGCATGAAACAAAAAAGTATCCCACCGATCTGACTGTTCACTTTCCTCCTTTTAAGGAAAAATATATATGCGAATAGAAAAGGCGTGACATGGATTGTTGTTTACTAATACACTTATTATTGACAGTTAGACTCTATCTATTAATGTACGCATTACAGGAGGCCCATAAGTACGGAGTTAAGGTCTCTGGTTGCAGCATTGGGTGATGACAGGGCTGGGAGTCTTCAAGAGGAGACATCAGTTGCTTTGATACTGCAGATGCCTTATTTTGGTAAGAATACTAAAAAGCACAAAGTTTAGACAAATCGATAACTTTCGTGTTGGTTACCTTCAGCAGCCTTATAAACGTTGCGTCTATTACGACGGCGTATTATATCTGTATTTTATGTTATTTAAGTTATGTAATAAAAAAAATTACATCTGTGATGCCAATTGTGCACAAGTCTACCGCATACGCTTCTCTTATTATTCAGTACTAATGTGTTGCCTGAATATTTGACTATACGCGCAAGCACGCACACACTGTGCGTTTTCCACAGCTCACACGCATACACACAGAAACATACATGAGTACACAGTGTAATAATAATAATAATATGAGTGATAGCAAGAATTATGATGTCTTGAATTATGATTTCGTTTCATTCACTCATTTTTTTGCAAAATAAAAAGGAACACACTGGTTATATTGTTTGAGAGTGTTGTTTTACGCGCATTGTTTTCGGCGCGTTTTTTATGTGTTCAGCTTGTTTGTTCAGTGTTTCACTGTATGTATGAATAAATCATAAAGAAGAGAAACAAAGAGAAAAGAATCATATTATACACAATTTTTACGCTTAAAGAATTCGTATAATGGTCCTACTATTATTATTATTACTATCTATAAGGCAGGAATTTTGTCTTGCTTAAAAGTGTGATTTTAATTCAGAAATAATCGATTGAAGGCGCCCATTTTAAATTTTAAAAGACTGAGATTAGTGAACAAAGAATATTCTTTTTCGACAATAACAACAACTATTACTACTTCTTCATCACGCTCTTCAGTTTTATTTATTCATATTAGTTTACAGAATGATTGTTATTTCATAACGTTAATATGCTTTTCTCTTAAATAACACTGACTCATTAATATCAAAATTCCAAGAGGTGTATGTGAACTGATTGTTAATAGATTAAAGTTCAGAATATACATGTATCCGATAATATGCTCAAATGTAACACTAAATTAAACATTAGATTTCAAAAGTAAATGACCATGCATAATGGTGAATGTGATAATATCAGAAGCTAAGTGATGAATACAAATGAATTAATGGCTTTACCCTATCCTTTGCTTAGGCGAGTTGTGAAGCGCTATCGAAGGCGCTGGAATACGCCACTCGACAAACATCTTGTGGATGTAGGTACATGCAAAGGAAAATGTAAACTCATCAGTTAATCTGCATTACAAAATGTAATAGATAATAACAACGCAGCTTCTAATGCATCCTTTAAGATGTTCTAAAAGTTTCCAAATGATATTCAGTAATGCTCACATAGATTTTTATTCCTATATGTGTAAAAACTTGGGCACTGTGATAGTAAGTTCTTCCATATTAGTTTGTGTATTAGATGTATCACACAGTGAAACAGTATTATTTACTGGATGACACAGTTTCGAATAAAATTTATTGTTCATAATCATTTCATCGATTATAATCACACGACTTTGAAACTTGAGTTTTATAGTTTTCTTTGTCCTCTCCTATTTGTCGTCGTTGGGGTAGTAGAATTTTCCAGATATCTGGGTCAGGTGTTGAATCATTCTTATTACATGTATTTGCAGTTGATTCGATAAATAATAATAACTTTTGTTTCACGTTCCCAGTGGAACATAGGGCTTCAAGCTAGTGTCTTGAAGTTTCTTTAGCAGTGTTTATTTTTTACAGGATGGAGTTGCTGGCCTCATGCCCAAGCTTTCCTCTCTAACAGCATTATTTCTGGCTTAGCGAGGTAAAGGAGTGCGTCAGCCGGGGATGGAACCCCGGAGCATGTGCATGGTCGGCGGGAGTCTTAACCACTGTGCCACCGACGCACACAGCGGTTTGGACTCTTGCCGACCATGCACACGGTGCGGAGTTCGATCGCCAGCCGACACATACCTGATATCTATGTTCGGCCTGCAAAATCTGGGCTACCGATATCCATGCTGAAAATTTCATACTTGTACCAAAAATACAGTGTGGAATGAAGCTGTAATCAAAAATAAAAATTTAAAAAAACAAATAAGGCTTCTGTTATCAATCTCTCCCTCCACTCTGTGACATTGTATGCTTGTTATACTGCATGTAGTGCTATAGCTGAACTATTCTCTAGATTTCTTATCTTCTTCGGGTAAACTAATCTAGATTTTATGTTCGGCTAGTCTGACTGCCCCCGTTCTACTAGTTTGACCTGACAATCATTCCAGCAGGATACTAGGTAAACTGAA